TGTGTGTGTCTGTGTGTGTGTGTGTCTGTGTGTGTCTGTGTGTGTCTGTGTGTGTGTGTCTGTGTGTGTGTCTGTGTGTGTCTGTGTGTGTGTGTGTCTGTTTGTGTGTGTGTGTGTCTGTGTGTGTGTGTGTCTGTGTGTGTGTCTGTGTGTGTGTGTCTGTGTGTGTGTGTCTGTGTGTGTGTGTCTGTGTGTGTGTGTGTCTGAGTGTGTGTGTCTGTGTGTGTGTGTGTCTGTGTGTGTGTGTGTGTCTGTGTGTGTGTGTCTGTGTGTGTGTGTGTGTCTGTGTGTGTGTGTGTGTGTGTGTGTCTGAGTGTGTGTCTGTGTGTGTGTGTCTGTGTGTGTGTGTCTGTGTGTGTGTGTGTGTGTGTCTGTGTGTCTGTGTGTCTCTGTGTGTGTGTCTCTGTGTGTGTGTCTCTGTGTGTGTGTCTGTGTGTGTGTGTCTCTGTGTGTGTGTGTGTCTGTGTGTGTGTGTGTGTCTCTGTGTGTGTCTCTGTGTGTGTGTCTCTGTGTCTCTGTGTGTCTCTGTGCGCACGCTCGATTCGCCCTAAGTTGGGCCAGTAGTCGGCTCTGAAGAGTGATATGCCACTGCTTCCAAGCTGCGAAAGATGTTGCCCCAGCCATGCGTCACCATTCTTAGAGCAGCCAGCGGCTCAGAGCTGTTAACCACAGTGGCATAAGCAACGCCCATCTGCAACCTGCAAAGCAGGTTTTGAATAGCCTGAAAAAGGGCCAGCCAATCTTCAAGCACGGCCACATGGGCTCACACGGGAACAACATCGAAATACAACTGGGTCGGACATCGCTCAGAGCTTTTCACCTGGATGTTGCCAGTGTCTGTGCCATGTGCTATCAACACAAGATCCTAAACACAACCCAACTTCGAACCTAGGACAGCAACGGCGGCTTGAACATTCAGAAATATTAGCTCTACAACAAATCGTTCAACCATGTTGGTGATCGTGCTGATGCTGGTGATGATGCTGATGGTAGTGAGTTTGGTGAGTTTGGTGATGCGAGTGCTGCTGGCGCTGTTGGCTGCGCTCGTGCAAAACTTGCGCGTTGAACTCTTAAATAAGCCTGCAGACGTTGCAGGCAATAACTCACCGCCTTGTACAAAAATCACAAAATACAAATCTGACAGAAAATTCAAACTTGTCGCGAAGTGGCTCACGTGTGATTGCAGGCTTGGCCGGCACAGGAGCAGCTATGTTGACCTGACTCTTCGTCTCTATGGCTCGCAGCATCTCATCGATGTCAAAGCTGTCACCACTCCGTGACAAGTCATGCAGCGACAAGGGGATAATGGCATCGACCGCCTTCAGCTCCATGAAACCCCTGCCGAACTCTGTGAGCTCAGGCACAATCTCATCGATCGCAGAGACATCATCAACCTCCTCGACCTCATCGACCACATCGATCACATCGGCCACATCAACCACATCGACCTCAACCACATCTACGTCGCAGCGCGTCGTGCTGCTCAGCGACCAAGGGATGATCGCATGCCGCACCACGTCGTGGGTCGTTGACCGGCCCGGGTCGAAGAAGTCCAGCTCCAATATTTTCTCGTAGAAGTCCAGCAAGTGCCGCACTCGGATCCCTCGGTTGGCAAGCTCAACAATTTTGCCACGTGCCACGTCACTCTGCTGTGACTTTGTATCTGCCTTGGCCTCAATGTGCAGCCCCAGCTCAGGGGGAGGTGCGGTGAGCACAGAGGGGAAAGCAAGCAAAGTTGCTTCTGCAAGCACCAGATGAAAGCACATGCTGCCAAGTGGAAGGAAGAACAGCTTTCCAAGAATGATGGTGCCAAAGCACAGCATGCACTTCCAATAGTCCGTCTGCCCTAGATTGGCCAGGAAAGAGCATATGAGCAGCCAGCACGCAGCCAGGAACAGACTTGCAAGCAGCCAGAACAAGGCATCATCTCGCTGCCAGGCTCTCCGCTGGCTGCTCGCCCTGGCGTCAGATGCGAATGATCGCCGGCCCAAGCGGTAGAGGCACACGCGGGGACCGGCATTCAGCAACATGGAGGCGCAGCCAACGACTAGGAAGCGCCAAGCCGAATTATCCACCGGGCACTCCAAATCACTGGTCGAGTCCAAAGTCAGGCCTGCAGCTGACATGAAGAGCGCAGAGAGTGCCAAAGAGCCTGAGAGAAAGGCTGCGAAAATGCTGGCCCTCTTGGCCGAGGTGATGTGGAAGGAGACGAAGAAGATTGACACTAAAGGATGCGAAGCCCACAGGGACACCGACACGCGCAGCCAGCGGCGATGGCCTTGAATGGCAACGGAGTGCAAAATTGCAAACAAGCGCCAAGCAACTTGTTCTCCCCTTCCACTTGGAAGCCCAAACTGGTGTCCATCATAGCCCCTTTAAATTGAGACAGCCAGATTTGCCCCCCGCCACTGTTCTTCAACGAGCTACCCGGTGACCCCAGGCAATTCGCCAAAAAGCAAAGGCCACATGAAAAAAATGTCCCAGGCGCCCAAGGAGGTGAAGATCTGAGACAGTTCCTCGTCCAGGTTCGCGGTGAGCTGCGCCAGGCGCTTGCTCTTGGCCACCGCGAGGCTCCCCTGCACCCAGCCCTGGCCATTCCACACGTGGCCCCGAAGGGAAGACTCCTCCACGCGGAAGCCCCAAAAAAAAACTACTCCTAAAGGCGCCTGAAGGCCCACCCCAGTGTTCGAAGCCAAACCCTAACCCAACATACCAATCGAAGCCACCGCTGCCAAAACACGATGCCCCAGTCGGACGGCACATCTCGCCTTGATAAGGCCCTGAAGCAGTCCAAAGCTTCTTAGCGTGGGTTTCAGGTTGGCTCAGGGCTCTCCATCCGAAAGACAATTGTCAAGCACATGAACAAAATGAGGCAAGTTGCAAATCCGCCCGAGAAAATGCAACCTCCAAAGTCAAAGGGAAATACCCCTGGAAAAGGGCCATCATTGAAATGGTGGACCGACATCCGAAAAATTTGCCGCCGAGTAAACAGCGTCCATGAAGCAAGGGCTTTTGACACAAGGAGCCTGTTCTGGAGACCTCCGTCCAAAACAAGAAGGAAGTCACTTGAAGTAGCACTTCTAGCCTATGGTCATTGTTGTTGCAAGTCACAGCTTACAGGGTGCACACTTTGGTGACTGCTGATTTGACTTTGCGTCACGCATCTTCAACTTCCCCTACGCTTGGAAAATGGGACCTTTGGTTCACTGCCCTCCTCCACACGTAGCTTGGCAGCCAGCGCTTGCAGCGTGCCCCGCACCAGCACCTTGATGCCCAAGCGCCGGGCCCAGCTCCTGGCATGCCCCCTTGCGCCCGACATGGCGCTGGCCATGGTAGCGGGGGTCCGCCACGAGGCGTCGGTCGGCGCCGAGTGCACCGCATGCTGCGCATCGTCTGCAGCCTCCGGTGAGCTCTGCACCTCTACGAGAGCGCCCTTGGCTCCGCTGCAAGCACAGGGCGCGCGGACAAGCGGGACCGCAGTCAACAGAAACTGTTGCTTCCACAGGTGCTGACTCTGTACCTTCCGGTCCGCTGTCGCGGCCAGTAGCACGAGCACGGTGCAGCACAACATTGTCAGAATGATAAGAATGCCGGGTGTGCGCCGGTACCACTTGCTGTCCAGCAACCTCTGCAACATCTGTGGTGACAGCACCTCCAGGTTCGTACATGCTAGAACTGGCTCCAGGAGGATGGCAAAGATTGTCAAATGTGTCGACGAACACCAAATCCCTGGCGCATAATCCTCACCCAGCGCAACGGCCAACTCGTCCTCAGTGGCTCGGTGCACACCCGCACGTGACCACACCCCTTCGTCTGTCAAAAAAGCGCAAACGCCGCCAGCCTCCGTCAAAGGCGCAGACACTCGGATGAAAATCAACTGCTCTAGTCCCCCAATTGGCACGCGCACCCCCCGAGAATCTGTCACTGAAACGTCGATGGCAGGAGCTAGCAGCTGGACATCTTTGCCAGACTCAAGGTTCGCAGCCTGCCCTTCTGGCATGACCCCATCGAGCATCGTGAAAATCAAAAATCTGCCACCCTCAGATTGGTTCAGCAGCTGCACTGGCATACCAACCGACACATTGGCTGCAGATGTTCCAACATAATGAGGCGAGACACGTGGCAGCAAGTTTCCCTCCTCGAAAGGAACTGCCGAGGCTGTTCCCGCACTGCTCTTAACGACAGCCCCTTCTGCATCTAGGCTGGCACTCATCAAAAATTGTGCGATCTCCTGCACATTGTTAACTTCATCCGGCATCACGATGATCAAGGCACTGGTGGTGGCAGTTTTAGAAGTGGAGATTGTCCGCCACGCTGTGCTGCTAGTGGTACTCACTGTAAAGGTGGGGGGAACTAACATTGGTGTGCTGGAGCTGCTGGAGCTGGTGCGGGTGCCAGCGCTGTCGGGGGCGGCGGTGGTGGTGCTGGTGCTGCCGGAGCTGCTGGAGTTGTTGGAACTGCTGGAGCTGCTGGAGCTGGTGCTGGTGCTAGTGCTGGTGGTGGTAGTGGCGCTGGTACTGGAGCTGGTGGAGCTGCTGGAGCTGCTGGAGCTGCTGGAGCTGCTAAAGCTGGTGCTGCAGGTGGTGGTGGTGGCGGTGCTAGCACTGCTGGAGCTGCTGGAGCTGCTGGAGCTGCGCGAGCTGCTGGAGCTGCTAAAGCTGGTGCTGCAGGTGGTGGTGGTGGCGGTGCTAGCACTGCTGGAGCTGCTGGAGCTGCTGGAGCTGCTGGAGCTGCTGGAGCTGCTAAAGCTGGTGCTGCAGGTGGTGGTTGTGGTGGTTGTGGCGGTGTTGGTGCTAGCACTGCTGGAGCTGGTGGAGCTGGTCGAGCTGGTGGAGCTGGTGCTGATGGTCGTGGTGGTGCTGCTGCTGACGCTGCTGGAGCTGGTGGAGCTGGTCGAGCTGGTGGAGCTGGTCGTGGTGGTGCTGCTGCTGACACTGCTGGAGCTGGTGGAGCTGCTGGAGCTGGTGAAGCTGGTGCGGGAGCCAGTGCTGGTGGTGGTGGTGGTGGTGGCGGTGGTGGTGGTGCTGGAGGTTGTGGTGATGGTGGCGGTGGCAGTGCCAGTTGTGAAGCTGGTGGTGCTCTCTGCGTTGGTGGATGTTATTGTACCTGTCGCGATGATCTCAGGGGGAACGCTGCTCGCTCCGCAGGTGTTAATGCTACTGTCAGTTAGGACAGCCGAGTGGAATATCACATTGCGAATATCACCGTTATTGCCAAAAGGGTCGACAATGTTTGGGGCGATCTCGAAGTTCTGACCTGCCGCACCAAGGAACGGAGCTGCAGTTCGAGTACCAACCAGAACAGCATCAACATACAGTTGTTGCTCCAAGTTGGTTGCATCGTAGACTGCCGTAATCATCACCCAGGTGGAGTCAGAAATTGCGTAATCGACAATCAAATCATCATCCCAAAACCCAAAGATCAAGGATGTTGAGTTTAGGCACAAGTGCAGCTGTCTGGATTCCTCGCCGGAGCCTTGATTTCCTAGCCAACATGTCCGCAAAAAAACTGGCACCGTCCGAACGTACACGTCCGCCGTCATTGAAAAGGACATCTCACTGAAATCCAAGCTCGGCACCGCCGTGTCAACTGGAAATGCCGTGTGGGGCTGTATGTAAGAATACGTGTTTAAATATCGCATGGGCGGGCATTGTACTATCTGACCAAACGCACCCCAAACTAAGGCAGCGAGAAAGCTGATTCTGCACATCCGCACATGCTATTGCTGCGCCCTGCACGGAGTTTCAACTGGGATCACCGCTCTTTGGCATGTCCACATGGCTAGCCAAAGCGAAGTGCATGAATGTGACCCGCTCTCTCTTTTCATATAATTTCATATTTTTGACAATCCATCCTAAAAGAACTGAAGCAACCTTTGCGCGAGTCACTGACATTCTGCTGTGGCCACGTCCATTCGCCCGATTTCTTTCATGACAATCCAAGCATGCTTGTCTGAGCCTGTACACGCTGCAAGTTTACTTTTACAGAAATGATGGCAAACCAAGGCTTGCGATCCAAATGCCATTGCCCTTTCTAAGTCTTGCGGATGACCGATCTCAAAGGTGCCATGAATCGTTCTTTGTCCAGCCGGAGAGAAGGCTGTGCAAAAAGATCCCTGATGGGCGCGGCTCCGTGTTGTTTGAGGATCGCCACCCAATCCTAAAGCCACTCCGCAAAAGTAGCTCGAAGATTGTCATCCATCTTCGTGAGCCCGTCACAGAACGGGTACCTGGTCGGCACCCAGCCAGCTGACTTCGTTGTTGGCAACCGTCTCCTGGATGGCCCTGACGCTGGCCTCTTGTCGTTCGACGAAGGGTTCTCCTTCAGGATGGCATCGAAAAAGGCTCTTGGCGTCTCCACATAAAGGGCGGGCAAGCCTTTGCCTGCTCGATGAGCAGCTGTCTTCACGCACCAACTCGCTGATGAAGTGGTTGAAACAGAGCGAATTCTAAAGTTAGAAAAGATTAACTCCCAAGTTAATGCTTTTGACTTTGAGGTTCGTGGATCTTCCATTCCAGGAATTAACTTAGGATTTAATTCTTGGCCCCTGCATTTGGGACCTTGGGATTAACTCTGGAGGTAATCCCCTTGGTGTCTGGAACGCTCATTCCAGGAATTAACTTCTGATTTAATTCTTTTCTATTGCATTTGGGACTCTGATTTACACATATTCCAGGAACTAACTTCTGATTTAGTTCTTTTCCATTGCATGGGGGACCTTGAGGTGAGCTCCATCATCATCATCGTCATCGTCATCATCATCCTCATCACCATCCTCATCATCATCATCCGCATCCTCATCATCATCCTCATCCTCATCATGCTCATCATCATCGTCATCATCATCATCCTCCTCCTCATCATCATCATCATCATCATCATCCTCATATCATCCTCACCATCATCATCATCATCCTCATCCTCATCATCATCATCCGCATCCTCATCATCATCATCATCATCATCATCATCCTCCTCATCCTCATCATCATCCTCGTCATCATCCTCATCATCATCATGCTCATCATCATCATGCTCATCATCATCCTCATCCTCATCATCATCATCATCCGCATCCTCATCATCATCCTCATCCTCATCATGCTCATCATCATCGTCATCATCATCATCCTCCTCATCATCATCATCATCCTCATCATCATCATCCTCATATCATCCTCACCATCATCATCATCATCCTCATCCTCATCATCATCATCCGCATCCTCATCATCATCATCATCATCCTCCTCATCCTCATCATCATCCTCGTCATCATCCTCATCATCATCATGCTCATCATCATCATGCTCATCATCATCCTCATCCTCATCCTCATCCTCATCATCATCATCCGCATCCTCATCATCATCATCCTCATCATCATCATCATCATCATCCTCATCATCATCATCATCATCGGCATCCTCATCTTCATCACCCTCATCATCATCATCATCATCGTCATCCTCATCATCATCATCATCCTCATCATCATCATCATAATCCTCGTTATCATCCTCATCATCCTCATCACCCTCATCATCATCATCATCATCCTCATCATCATCATCATCCTCATCATCATCATCCTCATCATCATCATCTTCATCATCATCATCCTCATCATCATCCTCGTCATCATCGAAACCCCCCGGGCACTGGAGGACTTAGGCTGTTGCTGTGGAGGCCAGCCTCCCCACATGCAGCGCTGTTGCTGACCCGGTCAGCGTCCGGGCACAGGCAGCCGACTGCACTCGGGCGCTTCGGAGTACCGGAAGTCAGCAAGCATGTCGCTGACATCTGGCACGGGCCCATCAAGATTGTGCGCGCCGGCTCCGGGCAGGGCAAGAAGGCTGGTGGCATACGCCCGCGCGGCGGCAAAAGAAATGAAGGCCGACGACCGGGCGCGGCATGCTGCGGCACATGAGGCTTGCACGTCATCTGGCAGAGAGCGGGCGCGGGCCCGGGCAAGCGAGCTGACAAACTGTGCGGCCTCAGCGCTCCAGCGGCCACCAACTTCAAGTCCGACAACGACAAGGCGGCAGCGATGAGACAAAGGGATCTCACGGTAAGTCCTCTCCTTGGCTCGCCGAGCAAGATGGAGCGCGGCTCCCTCGGCGTGGCGCTGGTAAACCCGCGCGTGGCCGGCTGAGTCCAGGGCCAAGATCAGGGTGGTGTCAACCGCAAGCTGCACGCCCCCCCAGAGAGGAAGGCCAAGGGCGAAGCTGTCATCGACAGCGCGGGAGGCGGCACGTTGCCGGTCGTCCGAGGGGTCCTCGTCAAGGCTCAGGCGGGCCCTCCCTGGTAACGCTAGCCCACGGCGGCGGGTCGAACCCAAGGTCAAAGAGCCGTTGGCGAGCATCGCAGAGAGCGTGCGCTGAAGCGGAGTCGGGCTGAGGGGACTCGAGCTGAGGCAGGAGAGCGGCGAAGACGTCGGGCGCCCGGACGGCGAGGGAAGGCAAACTATCTGCACGGCGCTTTCGGAGACCGAGCCCGCCGTGGCGAAAAGCAAGCTGGGCAATGCTGGCGGCAGTGTCGGGCAGGAGGTCGGGCCGCTCAAACTGCAGGAGGTTCGCCAAGCAGTGGAGGAGGGAACGGTCGTGCTCAGCCGCAAAGGCCCGCGTTTGCTCAGCGGGCAGGACGCGCAGGACGTAGTGGGCGTGGGCAGAGGCGCGCCTGCCGCGCGGGCGCCCCGCCGATGCTTTTGGGTGACTATGTCGCTGCCTGCCCGACGTCCGGCGTGCTACGAACCAGGCCGGTGGAGCGGGCGTCAGCCCACTCGGGAGGGACGGCCAGCCAACCGGCACCGTCCTTGCCACCTGTTGTGGCCGCAAGCATCAATATCCATAAGATACAAGAATCCCTGGAACTTACATCGCGATTGCTACATGGCGCAGAAGCTGGATCAAAACGAAAGGACCCCAGACTCTTTGTGCAAACAACGCTTGGAAAAGAATTAACTCTGAATTTAATTCTTTTCTGAGCCCCTCGTCAATATTGTTGTTGCGGTTTTGGCTCAAGTTTGCTGGCTGCCTGCCTGTCTTTCTGGTTTGGGTTCTTTTCCGTTGTGTGTTTCTCTTGTTTTTCGGGCTGCCCCTGGTTTCCTGTTTCGTGTTTGGGCTTTCGCGGCGGGCGCCACGGATCGCACAGCTGGGAATCGGGCCCAGTATAAACAAGCCGTGCCACAGCTGGGAGGCGGGCCCAGTGTGACCTTTTTGCTGGAAGCTGTCCAGGTCAAAAACAGCTCTGTGATAAGGGCTCCCCTTGGAGGCCGGGCCTCCGGGGTCTAGGCCAGCAATGCCGGGTCGAGGGGCTCATAAGGCTGGGCCGGCCGCCGGGCTGGATCAGTGAGCTGCTGCAAAGTGCCGGGAGTGCCAGGGCCGATGGTCGGACGACAAGGCCTGCCGGGCGGCGGACAGCTCACCAAGGTGGACAAGTCGAGTGGCCCTTCCCGCTCGGCGTAGCGCTTCACCAGCAGGGTCGCTGGTGGGCGTTGGCGCGGGCACGCGGGGGTCCGAAGCCCACTCACCACGAAAGAAAGCCGAAAACCGGGCCGCGAACACCTTGTTCGGTCAGCGGGCCTATGAAGGAGCATGCGTGGCAGGAAAACTCGTTGCTCGCATGCTTGCGCAGCAGTTTGGAGCGGCGTTTGGAGCGGCGTTTGATGCGGCTTGCCAGCCGTACCAGTTTGCTCTGTCCACTCGGGCGGGGACCGCGAGGCCCTCGCACATCCACTGACTCGGACCCTAACCTGACTGTGCTGTCTGTTGATGGCGTCGGGGCGTTTGATCCCATCAGCCGCAACGCCATGCTTAGTGCTCTTCGCGGCGCCCCTGCGGCCAACCCCCTTCTGCCTTTCGTCCGCTTGTTCTATGGTCGGACCTCCCGTTTTCTTTGGGTTGATGCCCGTGGCCAGGCGCACTGCGTCGACCAAGCTGAAGGGGGGGGAACAAGGCGATTTTGTGATGCCCGCGCTCTTCCCCGCCCTGTGTGCCTTCGACCGTGAGCTCCGCCCTGTCGATCGCGAACGTGTGTCGGCCTTCCTTGATGACCTTTACGTCCGCTCGCAGCAGCCGGATCGGGTTGTCCATCTCCTTCCTCGCTTGGAGCACCAGCTCAATGCTGGTAAGACCCGTGTCTGGAACGCCGCTGGTGTCGCCCCTGCCAGAATCCAACACCTCCCCCACTCTGCGGTTTGGGTTGGGAGCCACGCCCTCCCTAGTAACCAACGCGGCATCCGTGTCCTTGGCACTCCGCTTGGGAGTGGCAAGTTCGTCGCTGCCAGCCTGGCCGCCCTCGGCAGCTTGGTTGTTGCTCCTGGGGCATGCGCAAGCGGCGGAGGAGGACTATGCGGAACAGCTCGCTAGGCAGCCGGAGCTTTGCGGCCGTGTGCAAAACATGCAGGGCTCTCCCCGCCTGAGGCCCCGACTGCGACAACAGCAGCGCGCGCGACGCAAGGTCAAGGTCTGAAAACAGCGTGTCGCCGCCCGTCGGTCAGCGTAGTGGCCTCTCTTTGCCTCGGGGGAAATTCCCGGGCTAGCCAAGCACTTGGCCCGGCGCAACCCCGTCCCAGAGTTCCTGCCACGTGGCCCGGCTGCAGCGTCAGTGCCGCCCGAACAGCTTGGGCCGCACACGGCAGCCCGCCGCCGCCAGCGCTCAGCGCAGCCAGAAGGTCCGCCCCAAGCGCCGGCAGACGCTCCCGCAGAACCGGGAGGCTGTCGGCCCAGGACGCCCAATGCGCCGCAAAGCGCTGGCTATGCGCCGCACGCAAGCCGAGGCCGCCGTGCACCAGGGGCAACTGCGCTCGCCGCAGCTGCAGCGCACCCAGCTCAGCGCCCTCCGGCACCGTGAAGCCGTCAGCTCCGCCTCCGGCGAGCAAGTGGCTCAAGCAGGCTGCCAGCGCATCGTCATGGCCAGCCGCATACGCAGCTGTCTCAGCCGGCGGCAACGCTCTCAGCAAGTAGTTGCACCGTGGTCGCGCGCAGAAGAGGAGCATCAGCCACGCCGCCTGCAGATCGGGCACGCAAGGTCGAGCAGCCGTTGGTGCTCGGCGCGC